CTAGTCCTTGTTTTCTCAACAGCCCGTTCATTAGTGCATCTTATTTTCCAATGGTTCACCTAATTACTCATACTGTAAGGCTGATTAAAGACATGTCGTTTGGTTTGATTGGGCACCGCAATAAAGCCTTCTATCTTTTCCCATTCCTCCCGGTACATTTTTCACTTCAGCCATCCATCTGTTCGATCCAGCCAGTATTTGACTTCAGTATCCGTCGAGGAATATGAGGCACTCCAATATCATAATGCTGATCTGCAGGTATGAAATACTTTTATCATTTCGATTAACGCTCGGCTTTCATTCTCGTTCTGTATAGCCTTATCGGTTTGCGCTCTTACTGCACTGCTATTTACATCAATGTAGCTGTTTTGAAACAAGCCAGTGTATACGACTCACTTTCCAAGGTATAGAGGAAAATCGTCCGACCACCACCAGCCCCCGACTAATGTCTTCCAATTACTAATTTCCTAATTTGTCACCATTTTAACGTTTTCATTGATTTGTTGACCGAATAAAGGAAAATGTAGTGCCTACCTAGTCTGTGCCTGGTACCCACACACGTTTGGCATGTTCCCTACACCGAGCTCTACTGCGACATTTTATGGTTATTTGTGTCATACCTTATTGCCGCCATACATCAGAAAACATCCAACGAATATTAAACCGTTTCAATTTACGGGCCGCATTTCAGGCAACCAACACTCTTCCTTCATTCTTGATGCAACTTAAGAACCACCGAATAAAAGCTGGTCCGTCAAATCTCATTTACAAGGTAAAATGTAAACAATGTTCGGTGACGTACGTTGGCCAAAGAAGCGAGTAGTCGAACATGACAGAAAATCCAAACATCCTCTAAGAAATACATCGTAGTTTAGAACCCCGGAGAGGGACTCAGCTATAGCTCTGCATTCCATTACTAAGGGAACTGCGAAAAGGCGATTATTCTGAAACAAGTTTTTGGGTCATATAGAGAACCAATAATTACTGAGTCATTGTTCATCGATACCGGTTCACTTTGCTTCAGTCCCTCGGACGGGGCCCAATTATCATTTCACTGGCCTGATACCACTTACACAACCAACTGCCCAAACAATATTAACTTCGCCACACCACAAAACTGCCCACAGACCAATCTCCCTTCTCCTATGACGTCATCGGTAGCTATTTGGCCTCTTGTTCATTCACAACTCCCATGCTTTCATTTATATTTTATTATATTATTATTGTTATTATTATATTATATTTTATTTACACGCGTAGACGCACACACAAACTCTATTTCCCTTCCCCTAGACCAGTCAAAAGCTCCTCCGTTTGGTACGGTTTCTCTCGCGGTTTTCGTTCAATGTTTGCATGTTAATTAACTTGAAAAAGACCTGCCAGGAGGGTCGAACAGTCGTCCACCGAAAATTGTTGCTTTTGGTTTTCTATGCTTGTGGCTCATTCAAGCATTCCCACACGGATCCAATGAATTGCTTTGAGTCTAAAAATTCAGTGAAACAATGGAAATATTTTCCAATCCACAAAAAGGGTGCTTTGTACGGACACTTTTTTGGAATTATATTTTTGTTTTTATCCATTTTTTAAAGTATTCTTCTAGCCTTCTCGGTTGTACATCTCTTCTGTAATGACCTTCTTCCACCATTTCGACACGTTGGCTTATCATGATAAACTATGTCTGTGTAGTCCTCCGATAGCTGCTGGAGCACCGTCGCACGGAAGCTGTTAGCGTCCATCATTCTCCGCCGATTGTACACTACGCGTGAGGAGTAGACCCGAGAGGAGAAGGCTGGGTTTCGCGCTGTTCGTGGATGCATCGATCAAATCTTCATCCTCCGACAGCTGCTAGAGCACCGTCATGCCTACCAAAGACCAACGATCATTGTGTTCTTACACATCCGTGCGGCCTTCGACTCTGTCGATAGGACCGCACTATGCAACCGTTTCTTGAGGAATCGAGTACCTCAGAAGTATGTGTCGATCCTCAAAGAGTTGTATCGTCATACCTCAGGTCGGATTAGGACCTATGGCTAACTTTCACTCTTCGCCGTCTCCAGTGGAGTTCGGCAAGGCTGTCCTATATCCCCGTTTCTTTTCCACTTCGCCATAGAGGATGTTCTGCAGGACGCTTTGTCCGGTCTAGAAAACGGGGAAATCGAACTCCTCCCACGGAACAGATTTATTGACTAAGAATATGCCGATGACATCACCCTGTTGGATGACAACGCACAGGCAGTCCAACACGCTTTACACCACTTGGCGATAGGGGTATCCATGTATGGTATGTGCTTTGCACCATCAAAGTACAAAGTACTTGTTCAAGACTGACAGGAGCCTGTGTCTGCACTCACCCTCTGTGGTGATCAGCTAGAAGTGTGTGAGAGCTTTAAGTACCTCGGGAGCTTGATCGCAGCTGGTGGGGATGTTGGGAAGGAGATCACATCACCAATGGCGAAAGCTAGAGCAGCTTTCGCCAACCTGCGACACTTGTGGCGCCGCCATGACTTCTGACTGTCCCTTAAGGGAAGGGTGTTTATCGACGCCGTTCGCAGCATTCTCCTTTACGATTGCGAGACCTGGTCTCTCCGAGCGAAGGATGCTAATCGACTTTCTGTATTTGACCACCGATGTCTCCGAAGCATTGCTCGTGTCTGCGGAAAAACCGGGTGAGTAATGACGAGGCTCGTCGTGG